TACAAGCCTATCAAAATTTCTCAATTGCCTATTTCTCACTTTCATACCCGGATGTCGTTCCACCAGGGACAACGGTAGGCAGTTGTTAACCCCAGCAATGGCGCCACCTGTCGCGCTGTCGTTGTCGATGCCGTCGTCGAGGTCGTTCCCGCATGCGCATAGGTCTCAGTCAAACATACCAATCAAAAGGAGAATATTCTTAGATCCTAGTATAATCAATAATAAATAAGTAGTAATAAATAAAACAAGGCGACGGACGCCCGCGCCGACTTTATAATCAACAACAGAAAAAGAATCACGCGCGCCTTAAACCTGCGCGCCCACGCCCTCTTTACTCTAGTCAACCATCCAGCCAACGTAAATCACAGACGCGGCCGCGCCTAGCGCGGTATACTTAAGCTTTAAACCAGAACTATTTTCTGTCACTTGCAAAAAACAGGGCGGATACCCTTGTAAGGGTATTCACGCCGACAGCGGGGGAATATCGCAGCCGCATGACGAACTTTTTGGCGTAGCACCAGATGCTCACCGACCAGTTCTGGATGTCGGTTGTATCGATACATCATATGATGTTTTACAAGCAAGCAGTAGTCGATTGTTGGCCCCCCTCTGCGGTGTGGATCTTTGAGAGCAGATTTGACGCAATTCACCGTTAGACCCACATCGGAGAGGCGGACCTGCCATCATGACGCTGTTCACTGTAATCACCATGTGGGAGTCGACAACGCAATGACCCCACGATGTTCCAATCGGGAAGTGTTTTTGTGTTCTGTGCATGTGCTGATCATCGGCGCGTATGAAGAGTATTGAGGGAAAGAGGAGATTCTTCTAGCATGGGACGAGGGAAACAAACGACTTATTCAGTGACGAGAAGGAACAAGCTTGAGCGGCCTGCAACTTTGGATGCCAAACACCATAAGCACGCATACAGATGTCGGAAGCGATCATGAGTCTTCCGCGTCATAAGAAATTAACAACCTTCCCGCAGTGCCAAACAGTCGGCGGTCTGTGCTGTCGAGTGGCAAGAACACTCTTAGGGAACCTCGCGGTCGTGTTCGGAAATTGTTGGCGTAGCACCAGATGCTCACCAAACAGTTTTGAATGCCAATCTAATAGACAAATCATATGATGCCTTATGATCAAGCAGTGGTTGATAGCTGGCCCCCTTTCCTGGTCTGGATCTTTGAGAGCAGAGTTTCGCACTCCACCGTGAGATCCATATCGGAGAAGGGGACCTGCTACCCTGCCGCTGTTTACTGTAGTCATCATGAGGGAGTCCATGATGCGAGAACCCCAAAATGAGCAATCGCGGGGGAATATCGAGGCCGCATGACGAACTTATTGGCGTAGCACCAGATGCTCACCGATCAGTTCTGAATGTTGGTTGTATCGACACATCACATGATGTTTCACAAGCAAGCAGTGGTCGATTACTGGCCCCCCTCTGCGGTGTGAATCTTTGAGAGCAGATTTGACGCAATCCACCGTTAGACCCACATCGGAGAGGCGGACCTGCCATCATGTCGTTGTTCACTGTAATCATCATGTTGGAGTCGACAACGCAATGACCCCACGATATTCCAATCGGGAAGTGTTTTTGTGTTTTATGCAGGTGTTGATCATTCCGTGACGAGAAGTAACAATCTCGAGCGGCATGAAACTTCGGATGGATCCGAGACACAAGATGACATGTCAGACAAGGAAGATTGCAGCGTCGGCCAGCGATGCTCACGTCACTTTCGGCAAGGCAGTGGATGTTGCACAGAGGGCTACGGACATGGCACCACATTTCATGGCATCCAATCCGAAAACCATCGTTGCCGTCGCCGGGGGTGATCACGAGCCTTCGCCGTGACGAGAAAATGACCCGACGATTTTGCAATCGGGACGTGCTATGTATTCTGTGCGGGTGCTGATGATCGTTCCGTATGCAGCGTATTGACGGAAAGAGGAGTTTCTTTCAACAGGTGTCTAGGGAAACAGACGACTTTTTCTAGGATGAGAAAGAAAATGCTTATGCAGCCGGCGACTTCGAATGGATCCGAGACACGAGATGTCATGCTGGACATGCATGATTGCAGCCTCGGCCGGCGCCGCTCACGTCACTTTCTGCTGTGCAGCGGCTTTTGCACAGAGGGCAACGGATATGGGCACCACATTTCATGGCGTCCTCTCCGAAAACCATCGAGGACAATTACGAAATATGGCAGTGCCAAACGATCTAGAGGGCGGTGGACTGTTTGGAAACCTCGCTTGCCTCAAAGGCGTGCAATAAAATAAACTCGAAGGTGTGCAGTTAGCGAGTCGCACACACCGAATCTGACGGGTTGTTGTTTGGCCAAGGATCGTCCTTGGGGAACCCTTCATGCATCGCGTTCAACGTTGGGTGTGCACGCACGTATCTGATTGTTGAGTCGGATGAATCCGAAATACTTATAGAACGTGACCACACGTCCGTGTCTTGTGACATACGGGGTTCCCCGCGGATGAGGTCGTGAAAGGAAGCCATACATAACATTCATAGATGATCCATACACATGGATCTGCGGCTCGTCGACTGTTGCGTTCTCCGAAAACACAGACATGTATTTCATCTTGACAAACCCTCCTCGTCGTGCTAAGGAATTCCCTATACAGTCACGTATTTCAGACACTTTCTCTTCCACCTCATGCCACAATGACAAAAAAACTCTTACCTGACCTGCTCTCACCAAGTCTGACCGCCCATCTACATCTGGGCGAGACATGACCGCCTTGAACTTGGATCCCTGAAGCACCATCTCGTTGCGTGACACAAGCACAACTACATCCACAAGTTTCCTACTTTTGCTTGAAGAAGCCACAATAGCACTCTAGCGAAAGGACATCCGTCATCCGTCAACCGCACACAACAGTACGATAGAGCTTGTGGAGAAGTCCCCTGGCAACGAGGTGGGTAGTGTTCCAAGAATGAACAATGACGAGCGCAGTCCACCAACTCTTGCTTCTGCGAACTTCCCCAAGTTCGTGGTGAAGATGTGATGTACTCGCAGTGGAGGCGACGTCTGAAGCTGGTACGGAAGCGGATCGGTTTACCCTTATCGTCCAGGGCCTTTCGATGGAGGACACCATCAGGTAGTGCAATGAGGCTCCCGAACTCCAACACGTTGGCAAACTTGTAATGGCTTGCCCAAGGGCAGGAACGCTCCATCGCATTCCAATCATTATCGTTCCATTCGTCGAGATGCCGGTTCATGTAAGGGACGACGGTCGTCAATGGGTCATCTTCGAAGTCGTCCTCGGTTGCATCGTCGATCCACGTTTGACCGTCATGATGCCGCAACGATCTCGCACAAGGTAAAAAGGGTTTCGCTAAGCGCATGTGCTTCTCGGGTGTCATGGCGACGCTTGTCGAAGGACTCGACGACATTGAAYTCCCTACACAACACGCACACATGGATAGACATACGGAAGAGGAGACCGTCGTAAACAATGTCGTTGAACGATAGTTTCCCCGTCGGGGCCCACACCCAGTTGTAACGCCCAACACTTTTTTATCGGCGAAGCCCTTACAGAAGGCCGTCAATCGAAAATCGTCCAAAAATAAAAATCATTCTACATCGCATTGCAAAGCCTTTACAGAAGGTCGTCAATCAGAAGTTCACCAAGCCAATGAAGTGTTTTCTAGAAGTCATGCAGGGTTTTTTAGAAGGTCAATCGGAAGTTCACCAAACCAATGTCAATCAGAAGTTCACCAAGCCAATGGAGTGTTTTCTATAAGGTCGCAGAGCAATGAAAGCACAAACTCTACCAACCACGGTCATTCTGAATACGAGATGTACAGAAGTGCAAGACAGAAGCTTATTCAAGCCTACGCCCCCGCCCCGGATCCATGGTTCGGATCAATCCGAGCCACCCGCCAACAGAACTCCTAGACAGAAGCTCATCCAAACCTACCAATCCGTGGTTCGGATCAATCCGAGCTACCTCCCCGGAAAGATAGACATTAAATGAGATGTCGTGCGACCATCCGTGGCTCGGATTAATGCGAGCCACCGCCCAACGATGTGTGCGGTGTCTGCATTACTACCCCATGTGCAAGAAAACAACTCAGACAAAAGCCAAGAGTGCCATCCCCAGTTCATGAGACCCGCCTGCCCGATGTGGCAGACAAATCAGACTCTATTGCCGTCGAGCTATAAGGTTCGAATCAATCCGGACCACAGCAAACGGTTTCACTTAGGCGGTGCCTTGACGTCCTGCGAAATTTTCACATTTTCCCGCTCGAAAGGAAAAATCAAGAACAAATGCCATAAGTGCCCAGCTTAGGTTATTGTATGTTGTATTCAGGACGCGTGCCATGTGCCGTCGTTTTTCTTTCCCGATGAGACCTTCCGTCACTGGGCGTGATACTCACCTTGGGACTCCCGATGCGCTGAGGGATGTGGTTCGGATTAATCCGAACTACATCACACGTTTAGGAGTGACGCAGAACTGATAAGTCCTGTGTGAGTGTTGCACTACTCAATGCGGAAGAAATAAACAGTGACAAAAGTCACGACTGCGGTCCGTCAGTCGTCTGTGGTTGTGGTTCGGATTCATCCGAGCTACAAACGAAGGCAAAAGCAGATGGGAAGTTATCGGAGTCATGATTTGTGGAGATGTTTACTTCAAAAGCGATCCCCTGTGGCGTCGTTGTCCCTTCCACTGAGACATCAGAGGGATGCAGTTCCCGTTGAGACTTCCCACGAGCCGAGGGTTGTGGTTCAGATTCATCCGAACTACATCACACGTTCCGTAGTGAGGCGGAACAAAAACATCCAGCCTGAGAATTGCATAACCCCTCGTGGGAGACAAAGAACACCAACAAAAGTCATGAGGGGCGGGTTGTCATGGACAGGGGGTCGCCTCAAAACTCTCGATGGGGGGACATTGCGTGAAAACAATGGGCCGGACTTAAGGGGGGAAGTTGTTCGTCGCCGTTCGCGCCGATAGGACGCGTCTCGCAGGTTCCATCGTCGAGTGGGTCTACGAAGGCGAATACAATTTCAAGTTTACGTTGCGGAAGCATTACAGAAGTGATGATTTCGTCGGCGACATCGCAAAAGGATGCAAGGTTGTCGGGAGGATGTTCGGCGGGTACGGCCAGCGTGCGATGTCTTTGTCCTCCTTTGTCCCGCTATCGCCGGGGCACGACGAAGACGTTCACGTGACAGACTTCCTCGAGGTTTGGGCGAGATCACGTACCTCTGTCCGTGCCGTGGATGTCGGACCTGGGACATCGATCAGTGGTCCGATTGGGTTCGCGGGAGGAGAGTGCTCTGAAAGGAGGATGGGAGGTCAGGGTGGCCTGCCAGCTACGCCTCCTGATCAAGAGGTGGGCATGTCAGACGACTTGGAGGACGACCATCCGCGTGCTCCTTTGAAACCGGGCTTGCAGGGATCTCGCCGCCAAGGTTTGTTTGGGGAGTCGACGCCACGTGGAGGCGGCGATGGCGAACGGTTGCAACAGGGCTCAGAATCGACGACTCCTCGTCGTCTGGTCGAAAGGATCGGTGCGTTCGTTCGTGGCATGCAGGTGGCCGAGGTTTCTCCTGGCGATCACACGGGTGGTTCGCAGGTTCGAGAAGTGTGTGGGTCAGATGAGACAACTCGTCGGGCCCGACCTGCGCCTGCGCAGCTGCAGATGGAATTGAGCCAGGAACGAGAAGCAAGTGGGAACGTCGCTGGTGAGGAGGCGGTGTCCGAGTAGGGGCTGTTCGGTGAGAGATCGGCTGAAAAGACTCAGTGGAGAGGCAAGCGCAACTTGCTAGATGAGGAAGAGCGAGAGGGAGTAGGTGCTCTGAAAAGGCAGAGAAAGGAAGGAGGGAGTGCTCGGACACCAACAACACGAGAGGGAGGTTCCGTTGAGAAGAGGAAAAGGGTTGGAGGTGGGGATGAAACGCCAAAAGACTCGTCGACACGACGAAGAACCGGTGAGTCTTCCGGGAAACGGTCGAAATCATCGAGGGGGAAGAAAGCAGATGAGGGCGACAGCGGGGAGGGGGATGACGACGTGGAGATTAACCTCAACGCCTTTAACCTCGACAATGCGTTCTTCCTCGAGATGAAGACAGGGGTGTAGAGGGATGTCGTGTTGCACATCCATCTCGAAAGAATATTGGCTATTCCAGACTGGGAAGACGCGTACAACCACCGATCCTTATACGAGTTCCTCGTTGATACCATCGCGTCGGTTATGATCGACTGCTATGAACGTAAAGACATGAGATACACGAAGCCCATTTTCGTTCTCACTCTGATCGTCGCGCCTCCTGAGAGGGGTGAGCCTGCTGTGCGCGTGCTACCTGGTGATTTCGACAGCTCACAGCCGGAGAAATATTGGTATTATCCTGTGTGTGGACAGCATAACGCGAGGGCAGCGATGAAGGTGAAAGACCATCCCGTGTTTGAGTACTACAACTTATGTAAATGGCCGTTCAGACCGATCTACTTCCCTGATGACGAGTTAGACGGCTACGCCCATGTCAGCTGCGAAGACAACATGAAAGACAAGAAGAATCCACCGCGCTTGCAGGTTTTGTCTATGCAGAACATTCGCAATATCTGGAAAATTAAGGGCAAACCGCGTGTGGTGCTCGACAATGCGTCGAAGAAAAAGGACGAGGTGCGAAAGTGGGTGCAGCTCATGGCGTTGGCTATGAAGAAGACACCATACACGCCTTTGTGGAACCTGTCAACGAAAGAAAAGAAAAGAAAGGAATGGGCTGAGAAACTTCGATACTACCTCCCGCTGGCCATGGCAGATGACTCCGTCTTTGCTTTGGGGGAGAAGTTCTATGAAGAGTGGTCGAACGGGAAACTCCTTGCTTCTGACGGTCGGCGTTGGACTGAAAAGCCGGCCACCCATGAGGAGGTGTCCAAGCCAGGACTCTCCACTGTGATTGACAGCCAGGGGCTGAAGAAACATGTCTGGTACGTGAAGGTGGACGACCCGTTGTTGAAAAAGGGCAAGGGGAAGCCAAAGAAAGGCACGGAGGAGAAAACTTACTACGTCCAAGTTCCTGAGTTGGATGTCCACTGCTGGAAGGAATTGGTGGACTTGACGGACCGCGAGAAGAAAAGGTCGTTGAACGGCATCTTGAACCTTAACGTCGTGTGGGTTCAAACGAGTAGCAAGAAGTTGGCCGAGCAGGGGAAGTTCAGTGTCAAGAAGATGGTCGACATAATAAAAATGGACCGGATTATGCTGAGGCTGTGGCACTACGTGGAGTTCGAGTACGAGGAAATGGATAAGCGGGAGTGGAATGCCAACTTCACGTTCTTCAGGTCCAAGAAACAACTGTTGGAAGAGCAACAAGCTTTGGAACGAGAGCAGGAAATTTTTCACGGACACCGCGTACGTCAACAAGTGCCCTCAGTTTCTGGGATGTCAACACGACAACAACATCAAGAGAACGGCGGCCCTCGTTAACGACCAGCACTTCCCGGCGGAGTGGAAGCGTGTCGTCCTTTCAGTGATCACTGGAGATCGCGCCAAAGGCAAAAAAAACCCTCGGGGCGTTGATGAATGCATCGACATTATGTGGACGAGGACAAGCGCCTTGACGACGCTGGCCAGTTTAACGTCGACCCATTGAGTGCCATAGATCATAAGGAGGCGCTGGAAAAACTAGGGCATCAGCTACGCTCCCACACTTGCGTACTCGACTTGTGCGGAACAGTGGACCGTGCGCAATGGGACTCTGGGGCATTCGCGTCTCTGAGTGAGTTGCTGGGCTTCGTTTGTCAGGACTACTGGACATTGGTGGTATTCGTTCCCTGTCTGTGGAACCTCTCCTTCATGACATCTTTGTCTGTGCTTGGGGCTACCTAATGCTACACGGGGAAGTGGGTTCGGAAGACGGCATCGAAGAAGACGCATCAGTTCGGAAACAGCGTCTGGGAGGAGCCGAATGTGATGCACATTCTTTTCAAAGGCGAGGATCCTCGGCTACTGACTCACCCGGCATAGGAGGGAGCTGTTGCCGAAGACAACGCCGCCGCTCTCCGGAGGAAACAGAAAGTGACACCCACGGATGTGGAGGAGAAGTCTTTCAAGTCCTTGACTTTCGCGGACATCGGAAACCTCACCCAGAGGGGGGATCTGTACAAGGATGGCGAGCGGAATCCGAATCAGTTATGCAATCAGCTTCTTTTCTTCTATGGTGTGGCGGATGTCGTGTTATTCTTGGGCAAGCCGCATGCGCAGGTGGTGTGGAGTCTGCTTCACCAGGGAAGGCACGTCTTGGTCGTGGATGGGGACACAACGCAACTCGAATACACCGTGCAGTATGTCACCCATGAAGTGTCGTCCAAGGCTTACCCATGCGATTTCCCCCATGTTGTGGTCGAGCCCGTTTATGACCCGAATAAGGACATGTTCTTCAAGTTGACTCCGAAGAAAAGGCGTCAGGTCTACTCCTTCCTTTACGGCGAACAACCAAGGTTGAGATTTGAGCCGCAGTACGTGGTGCGGAAGGAAGTCGCCATTGCGGTCCTCCAGGGCTACCACGGAGCGAGTCGGCTTCATTAAGAGACTAGAATATGTATTTTTTAACGAGAATGTGGTCGATCCGGCCGACTTCACTTTGGATAACTACAGGCTGGCATTCGGTGAGGACGACGACTTCAATACCGAGACTGAGCAGGAGGAGAGCGTTGAGGACGACCTCTTCGATTTGGACGGGCATTTGGCCATCTTCAACGCCCAAGTTTCTGAGTCGCCGTCAGTATGCAAACCGGGGACACCTCTCGGTATACCCACCTCGGGCGGTCCCACGCCCGTGTCCTCCTCAACGCCTGTCAAGAGGGGTGGGTTGTCCCGTCTGAGGAGTTTGTCGGGGGAGCCTATTCGTCTCACACCGCAGCCCGAACGTCTTCGACCCGGCCATCCAGTTCCTCCGGACCATCCGCATCTCAAGGCTCCTCCAGTTCCCTACCACATGGGCGACAAAAACATCTTCTCCACAGCCGAAGATTGGGGCCATGATATTGTGTGGCACCCAGACCATTTCCAGCCAGTCCTTCTCAATGGCGATTGGGCAATGGTTGTGAGGGACGTAAGTGGAAGGTGGATATATGACGATCGTTGGGACCTCAATACATTCAAATCTCGCGCCTACGATGCGGTATTGGAGAGATTAGGTGAGGTCAATCGACGAAGTAAGGACGACCTTGCTCTGCGCGCATACGGGGAAACATTGTTCGAGTTATTGCAGTCAAATAATTGGCTGGAAGTATCCTCCGCGTTCTACGCCCTTCCGTCAAGCCCGTCAATTAAGCAAGTGAGTTAGGAGTTGCCTGAGGTCACCCCGCCGGCAGGAGTTGTGAAGCGCAAGTCTCGCGGAAAGGACGACGAAGGGGATGGTGAAGGCGGCGGGCAACGAGGTACCGGAGGTAGAAGTGAACAGCGGTCGACGAAACAGTGGTCTCCGGGGCACGCGGGCGGCGGAAAGGGGAAAAAGGGTAGCCGAGAGAAGAAAAAGCCTCGCAGCGTAGAGAAGACAAAGCATCACACAGGAGACGAGCAGGGTTCCGATGTCGACCGCGACGAGGACGGTGGGGTTTTGGCGGTAACAGGCAGCACCTCAATGGAGACGGGGAACGCCTTCAGGCCTGGGTGGGTTGCGCGGCCTTTCGAGCAGGACCCTGTGATTAGCTCCACCAGCGCAATACAGTTTACCGATGTGGTTGGCGGGACAGTTATTGCAAAGAATGGAACCTTCTTCGCTCAGCTCCAAAAACGGTTGGCGGATTGTCTCGGATCAATCCGAATCTCGGAGACGACATTGTCGTCCGGAACTCAGTGCCTTCCGGGAAGCGAGACGACAACATACCACGGATCCGGCAGCGACAAGCTCGACCCAAGTTCAGTTTCGCCTCAAAAGGAAGTTCGGATTAATCCGAACCGGGAAGCTAGTACCGTCGAGAGAGCACAACAGTCTACGAAACTCGAACGGGTGGTCCGGGTTTTCGAAAACCCTGGCGGTGAAATTCGGATTCATCTGAACCAGGAGGACGTGTCCGCCATGACAGACAATCGATGTCAGGACGCCGTAATGTTGTGCATGGAAGTCCACAAGGAACTGCAGGCAGGTTGTCCGACTGAGGTTGAGTTAGCGACCAGTTTCAATGTCGAGCCCCGCACATTTGGTGTTGAATGCCTAGTGACGGTACGCGCTGAGTTAGCTGTCTTAAGCGATTCTCCGGTAAAAACGGACACGTCGTCAGCGTTGGAAACTGCGGGGGCTCGGATGAATCTGAACCAGGGCCCTGTGAGCATGTCCCTCCCTGATGCAGCTTTGGAGACGACCGTAATTCGGATTCATCCGAGACACACGGACGAAGGACTTCAACTGGCAGGCGTTGAGGGTTGTCGACTTCTGACGACTTTGGACAAGGACGATTCCGCCGACGACCGGATTGATCCGACACTCAGCGACGTCGGGTTGGAGCAACCAGTTCAGCCGGGAAACGACGACCCCGTGTACTCCGGCCTTCACGACGAGGTGATGGGAGAGGGCGTTCTGAAGAAGTCCTCTGACGCTGTTGGAGATAGATTTCTCTATTTGAGTGACGACGATAAAGACACAGCGCACGAGGACAAGAAGTTAAGAGGGGGAGAGGTGTTGTTGGACATCCATGGGACCTTGAGCACAATACAATACGACACAGTGGCGATGGAGAAAACCCGACCTGTCGATGTTGTGGACGTCGACGCTCTTTGTCCGGAGACAAACACACTAAAATTACCCGTCGCGGACGTGGTGGATTTCCACCATCGGGATGGGGATGAATTTATGCCGTCTGCGGTCATCGACGCCGACATCTCGAACCTGTCAAGTTTCCCTGTGGGTTTGGAGCACGTCGTCGCCGCGTCGACGCGCACGGGGGCGCCAATCGTGCTGGGACTGCCGTCGGTGGACTCTAGTGACGTGGAAGCTAAGCCTGGTAAGCACTGACTTCCTCTGCTTGCTTCCCGCTTGTCATCCCGTTCGTGAAGTGTTGTTTGCTTCGTCGATTTCGGGGAGGTGTGTAGGCGGCCGCCAACTGGATTGTGACGATGTGCTTCGTGAGGTGCTGTTTGCTTGGTTGCTCTTGCGAAGTTGTGTTGTTGATCTCCTACTGAACTGTCTGGGTGGCTATTTCTTGTACAGGTCGACGAGCTCGTGGACAAACACACATGTCGCAAGAGCCTCCTGCCCTCGCCAGGTTGTCAGTCCTGGTTGCGGGAGGCACTGGTCGTCGCAATGTCACTGATTCGTTTCCTGGGGACACTAAACCTTGGGGCCCTCCCAGAAGGGTTGTCGTGCCCGTATTGGGCCCTCGCGCTAGACTCGTTGTAGAGGCAGCGGGTGTTGCCGAAAAAGACTGCAAGGAATTCCTTCTCAAGGCTTGCAGGGATATAAAGAAGGACAGTGATAGTTTAGAATCAACTGTGTGTGGAAGGTCCAGAAGTAGGGGTGACGTTACGCGTGAACTTTTCGGGCCACAGAGTAGCGGTTCGTCGGACCATGGCCGCTAGGACGACATTTTCTCATAGTGCCCCATCCTTTGTGCTTGCTGTGTGCTGCGGGTGTTTGTTGATTAGGGTTTCCTCGAGATGGAAGAGCAGTCCTTGAAGACGTTATCTGCTCCCGTTTGCCGCTCACAATCACCGTCGTGCGTTTGCCGTCGCACAATTTACAAGTATCCGTCAAGGACATCGTCGCACTCGTGGATGGATCCGGGGAGCTCAACGATGAGGTCGTCAATTTCTACATGGCGATGCTGCTTGACGACTGCGGCCGGACTGCTGCTACCAAGAAGACGTACACCTTTAACTCTTTCTTCGCCTCTACATAGCTTCTGCGAGGTCCGACAGCTCTTAGCAGATGGGCTAAAGATGTGGACCTCCTGTCTCATGACCTCGTCTTGGCACCAGTGCACAAGGACAGCGAACACTGGAGCCTTTTGGCCATTGACTTCGCTAGACGTGTTTTGGAAATCTATGATTCTTTCTCGTGTTCGTCATCCAAAGATGACTTCTACTCCTCACTTTTAGATAAATCTGTTAAATTTTTGAACACGGTGGCAGGTGTCGCCAGTGATAGTCACACACTCGACCACTTCGCTCGCGAGGTCAGCGTTTAAGGTGTCCCTCGGCAGCACGACGGGGCTAGTTGTGGGGTGTTCATGTTGATGTTCGCTTCCTGTTTGGCGAGAGGTTTGCGTCCACCTTTTGGTTTTTCCCATAGACACATCTCCTCTATCAGAGCTAGACTAGCTTTGGCGATTTGCGATGTTGATAGGTAAGCGTCTATCTTTTTGCTGATCATGTAGTGTAGCAGGGTTGACTAAGAAGAACATTTCGTTCTTCTCCGGACGAAATTTGTTCCTTTTTATTTTTTCCGTGAGAGAATGGTGGGTGTTCTCGGTTTGGTTCAGAGCAGAACTGGCTGTCACTGCCAGGATATCTCCGGGTGAAATTGTCATGTCCCCGACGTGTTTGTCGTCGACGATATTGTTCTTTCTCGTTGGCTTTCAATTCTCATGAACGTCCCCGTTGTTGGGGCGCCTGTTTCGTGATTGACTTTCTCGCTTTTGTCATTTTGTGTCTTGTGTGGTGTGATGTTCTGCCCGCATACTCGGATGCATCCGAACTCCAACTGCCTCTATGCTTTTCTGCCTCTCTCTCGAACCTTCCCCGTCATCTACACTCATCTATGCATTTTCACTTTGAATGTTGTGAGGCATTATAGAGAAGAAAATACAACACAAGGGCCTCTTTATACATTTGATGACCCGTCTGGTCCGAAATTTGTTCCTTTTCATTTTTTCCGTGAGAGACTGGTGGGTGTCCTCGGTTTGGTTCAGAGCAGAACTGGCTGTCACTGCCAGGATATCTCCGGGTGAAATTGTCATGTCCCCGGCGTGTTTGTCGTCGACAATATTGTTCTTTCTCAATGGCTTTCAATTCTCACGAACGTCCCCGTTGTTGGGGCGCCTGTTTCGTGATTGACTTTCTCGCTTTCGTCATTTTGTGTCTTGTGTGGTGTGATGTTCTGCACGGATACTCGGATGCATCCAAACTCCAACTACCTCTATGCTTTTCTGCCTCTCTCTCGAACCTTCCCCGTCGTCTACACTCATCTATGCATTTTTACTTTGAACGTTTTGAGGCATCACAGAGAAGAAATACAACACAAGGGCCTGTTTATACATTTGATGGTCTGTGTGGCCCTCCGCGCTGGGTGCTTTTTGATGGCCCGAAAGTACAACACAAGGGCCTCTTTATACATTTGATGGCCCGTCTGGCCTTCCGCGCTGGGTGCTTTCTGATGGTCCATCTGGCCCTCCGCGCCGATTGGTGCTACAAAGTGACAAACTGAATTGAGCTGGCACTCAAGAAGAAATGAACATTGTGTGATTGGTCCTCAATTTCGAAAAAAGGATTTCAAGATTCAACTTCGTCTCTCTCTCTCTCTCTCTCTCTCTCTCTCTCTCTCTCTCTCTCTCTCTCTCTCTCTCTCTCTCTCTCTCTCTCTCTCTCTCTNTCTCTCTCTCTCTCTCTCTCTCTCTCTCTCTCTCTCTCTCTCTCTCTCTCTCTCTCTCTCTCTCTCTCTCTCTCTCTCTCTAGCGCGCGCGCGCACACCCATCCACACCCACAATTGTCTCTAGTGTGCTCATTTGCTGTTTGCTTCGGACTCCCTCTCCCCTGTCATCTCGGATGCATCCGAACTTGGCTTACTCTCGCCTAACGAAAACCTTGCAGCTCTTGTACAACTACACTTGTGGTTTTCACGTGTTCCTCGAACATGCGTCTCTGTCCCTGTCTCTGTCTCTGTCTCTGTTTCTCTCTCTCTCTCTCTCTCTGTCTCTCTCTCTCTCTCTCTCTCTCTCTCTCTCTGAAAAAATACTTCTTGAACTGTGTCCCAAAAAACACAGGGGAAGCTTCGAACTGAAAGGTGTATACTAGTTTGACACTTGGTATACGTCCGTAACACGAAATGTTGTGGATGATTATACGGTGTTTGTCTTTTCCATCTCTCAGCCCTCTGGCATGCTATTTTGTCATTTCTTGCGGACTTCATCTCTCTGTCTATCTCCTGTGGATACATCCGAACTTCGGTTATCTTGGAAATTCACATTGCCTAGCTGCTCTACTACAACGATCATCTAAAATGCTTTTAAAAGCGAGGCTGATGATCTACGCGTGTGCTCGACCCTGCGCCTCCTGTGAGGCGTCTCGAGAAAATTAAGTACAGTCTCTTTGAGACTCTCTGTCTCTCGCTCTTTCTGTCTCTCTCTCTCTTTCTATATCTCTCGCTCTTCAAATGTACACGACCATTTCTTGCGGACTTCCTCTCTCTTTCTATCTCTTGTGATCTCCGATACATCCGAACTTCGCTTGTCTTGGAAATTCACATTACCTTGCTGCTCTCCTACAACGATGATCTAAAACGCTTTAAAAAGCGAGGCTGATGGTCGACGCGTGTGCTCGACCCTGCGCCTCCTGTGCGGCGTCTCGAAAAAATTAAGTACAGTCTCTCCGAGACTCTGTCTCTCGCTCTTTCTGTGTCTCTCTCTGTCGCTCTTATTGTCTCTCTCTCTCCTTCTATCTCTCTCGCCCTTCAAATGTGCACGGTCATCGGTGCAGAACTCCAATTCATTCTGGTCCTCACACTTCTAAGTCTGTGAAGAGCCACAACTCGTTGTACTCCTCACAAACTCGAGTTCATGTCATTATATTGTTCGGATTCGGATGAGTATGATGCTCAACTCCAAGTGAAGTTAAAACACAGTGTAATATCTAACTCTGTTGTGGTGTTCCACATCTTGACACATCCGAACCAGGAGAGGAGCGCAACAGATATATGTACTGAGGCAACAGATACATGTACTTACTCAGAGGCATATAACAAAGTGTAATATACTCTGCTGTGGTGTTCCACATCTGGACACATCCGAACCACGAGAGGAGCGCAGCAGATATATGTATTGACTGTGCTCCTCGTCTCAAAGCTGATTTTACTCCAGCTTCGGATGTATCCGGATCTATAATACCACTAGACTATACATTGTGTCATATATTCGTTTCAAAATAGTACACACAAGAATGTACTGTTTTAACGAATAACATGTTAAACGATAAAAAAAAAGGTTACGCCACATTCCTTCATCCGTTTCATTCTCGCATCTTTAACGGGTGGGCTATCCTTCCATACATCCGACATGACAATAAAAAAACATAAAACCTGCGTAGCACGGCGAATGTGCTCGCGCACTTCCACGTTCGCGCGAACAGCTCACGAACGTGTTCAGGTGAACATTTTTTTTTGTAAAAAAATAAAATAAAAAATCCGTTTTTGTTTATTAACTCACTTTTGACTGAGAATTTGAACATGACTCCAAGGCAAAAGTTGCTTGTATGGTTGTTTTACATGCCATATAGTTTTTCCAGATTTTTATGAGATTTTTTGTTTTTTATTTTTTATTTTTTATGTTAGCGTTCAGAGGGTTTTGGACGCTCATTCGCGTTTAGGCAAACATGTTCGAGTTCACCTCCGAGCACGAATACGATGCTACGTAGCATAAAACAAAAAAAAAGAAATGTCCTCCGATCGGAGGGTCGTGAACAGGGTTGTGTGTATGTCACGTAGTGTTAGATTTTTTGTCCAAAGTCGACACTAACTTGCAAACGTGAATTGCGGAAGTGGAGGTAGGCCCAAAACAAAAACAAGAACTGTCTGTCGCATCGTTCCTCTTGGCAAAGGATATCTCTATCCACGTGGAGGCATTACACTTGCGAAAGTGAGGCATCGAATTTGACAAAAAGAAATACTTTGTGACGTTTCGCCCATGGATGACCGATAACCAATTATTCGAATGGAATGAGGCCATGAGCTTCAATTTTTACTAGGTGTGGGTGTTACAAGTTCCAATTTTGATACTGCCTCATATTAGAGGGGCAGTGACGAAGGCATACGGGAATATCTTGCGAACGTCTCAAGCCTTTG